CACTCTTCTCAGTGTATTCATGTTTCAATAAGGCTTTGAATAGTTCTCCCCCCACCATCACAGCTCACTGAGCTGAAAGCTCCCAAAGCTCCCCGCTCTTCATTATGGCCGCTGTATGTGGGACGCCTCCGGGTCACTCCTGATGTTCCTCTGGCCGCCTGAGGAGGATTTTCGATGCAGCACTCACAAGCCATGCCAGAACAACCGAAGGCAGGGGAACACAATCTGTGAAGCAAGAGATCACTGATTTTTAATGAACAAGAAGTGGTGATTTGAGATTGGGGACTTTTTTGGGGGGGTAGGATTGAAAAATCCTCTGTTACATTTACAGCTCTTTGCTGAATACAGTTAGTGCTTCCTCCTATTTCCTTGAGCAATTAATATTATTCATATTTTCTCTGATCTAAATATATAAGGACTACTGGTAACAAAACAGAGGTTCTTTTGTTGAACTTCAAGGTCTTTGGAGCACAATGTGACATTCAGCTGATGAAAGTTTGGGTTGAAGATGAGACATGCATGGTGCTCAAGGACTTAAAATGCTTGCAGTAATTTAAGGTCAAGTGTTATTGCTACAGCTATGCGGATGATGAGAAAGAAACTATTAGGCACCATATGTTCATTATTAAAACAATGTGTTCTTGTTCTACAAATATATATGTATGTCCTTTGTTGAACAGAACAAGAACAAGAATTATAAATACATTCTTTGTATTGTTCATTGAAACATTGTATACAGTACTGTACATAGAATACGCAAATAGAACATGCAAAAATTAATAAAAGATAAACAGACATTGTAGCACATTGTGTGGTAATAGTATAAATAGAGCTTTCGTTATGGTTCCCTTTGGCTGCAGCTCAGACCTTATTTTTATTTAATTTTCTCTAGGTCGGTGTAATGGAGTTACAGTAGAACACAATTGGTTGCACTGGGTTATTGCATTATGATTGACTCTTAAGGCTCATCAACTTGCAATCTACACTCTATGTGAGTTGCTGAAACAATATAGCCTCCTATAAACAATTATAGAGGGTGGAGTGTTTCTGATGCTGTTGTGAGGAGCTGAGTTGTTGTTAGCTGTGGTGAACTTTTATTATGAGTTGTCAACAAGGTAAACACGTATCAACACTTGGCATACAGAATTCAACAAAGCTACAAATCAGGGTTGTGTGCTAGTCAGAAATGAATTTAAAAAGCTTTTTAATTCCAATCCAATCTAATTCCAATTTGATTTGAATTTGAATTGAGGTTGTGAACAGGATGCAGAATTTGGATGTAAGGAAGTACAACTGAAATTAAATATATGACTTACAGATAGAATTTATATTCTTATATATTGAATCACATGTCATCAATGTTTGTGGACCATGGAGGTGGAGCACTTCATTTCCAGAATACTTTATTTATGCTGATATTTATGTTATTTATTTATTTTGGCCAGTTCCTTTCAAATTCAGATTCATTATCTGAAAGGTAGACATATTTCATAATTATGTCAACCTCTAGCCTTTACTGTATAGCATAACCTCTTCAGTGTTATTGCATAATTTAATGGCATCATTTAGCAGCTTTGTTTGTTTGTCTAATTCAATAGCAATTCTTCAATGCACAGATTTCAGAACGGGTGTGATATGTTCTGATATTGTCTTTTTTGGTACATTTTCTGTATTAATTGTAAATGAAATGGAGTTTTTGAGGGTGGACAAGAAAGAAAATTGTGGATGTTAATTATCAAATTCTATGCATTTGCTCAACAGAAAAAAAAAATTCATTAAGATGATAAATTAATTATTTGCAAACCTTTATGACATGGAAATCAGAAGTACAATTACAGTTTACAGTGAATATAGATTTTTTTTGACAGAGTTGTTGCTATGAAGGGTGTAAATCTGTTTTGTCTGCAGTTTTATATCAGTCCTGTTTCTTAGTGCCTGTGCTTTGACAGATTGCTACTGATAAAAATCTTTGTATGGACTTTATAGATGACAGCAATAATTGTGTCCTCTCTGTAAATGGGTGGTACACCTCCCGGTGGTTTTAAAAACACTTCATACTGTCAATTATCCAGTTTGGTGCTTATGAAATGACTGTTGCAGGCGCATGGGAAACAGAAAAAAAAATTACACCCTGTCATTGAAATGTTTATGTAACTAATTATTTTTCTGGCTTTTTTTCTGTTGTTAATAGACTTTCACATGTCACTCATCACTGACATTTAAATCAATTACTTAGGTATTTGATTAAAAAGATTTTTCTTGTTGACTCTATACAATGACTTGTGTGCGTAAATGTCAAATTAAAGATTTTCACACCATGAAGAGATTATTCAATAAATTACGATCCTTTGCCATCTTTCGTGCTACATACATATTCAACTGCAAATAACCTGCTTTTCAATTAGTTAGGATCACAAATATTACAGGATATTTAATAAAGTCTAAAGCAAGATAAGTCACAAACTAGCAAGATTTAAGCAAGCAATAGAACTGATATGAGCCCGCACCCATTTAGAAATGTATGTGTTTGTCTTAAAGGGATAGTTGAAATGAAAAAACAAATCTGCCATTATTTACTCACCATCATACTGTTTCAAACCTGTATGCATTGCTTTATTCTGCAAAACACACAAAAATTGTTTTTGTAAAATCTTCCTGTTTATAGTGTAGATCTTTTGAAGGAACTATAGAGTGATGACAATTTATTTTCTGTATTTCTGTATAATGCATCTCTATGATTTGTGTAAACACATCTGTGACACATTAAACCTGAGAATGATACATTAAACAAGTAAAGGAAGGATGTCAGGAGAATTACAATAATACAAAACCAGTCCCAAGTGGACTGATCCTGTGGACTATTAGATTTATTCACTCAGTAAGCATAAATAGAGCAGGTCTTTAGATACTTTCTGTAAAAAATTAATCAGATTTACACAACAACATGAGGACAGTTCCCAAGACTGAACCTATAAAGAACAATAATGTGAGCTACTATCAGAGGTCAAAGTCTTAATGGCGGTGCTAGCTCCTCATCCAAGCCATCTTACACTGAAACCATGATACTGATATGACCATGATGTTGATTGGGCTGAAATAAAGACTAAAGCCTCTAAGAGATGAAAGTTCAAGGCTGTAGTCAGCTTTCCTCTGATCAGGTTAGTTTGATGTTTTAATGACCTTGTCACAGGCTAAATACATACGAGAAAGACTTGATTAGTGTTCATGAGATTGTAGCTCTGACCATGCAGTGAACTATACAGCCATAACGTAGTAATTATATGAATCATTTAATCTGTATGCTGCGAAAATATTACTGTGGGTTGCTTGTATCCATTATTTATATAGATCTACATTAAAAGCCAGGAGCAAATTAAATAAGTTATAGCATGTACTTACCATGTTTACCAAACAAAAAGTAGGCCTAAAATTTGATATTGTACCTTGTTGTTATTGTTTTGATTGTTTGGTGTCTGCTTTTATAACTGAGAACATTGGAAATATCTTTAGTAGGCCTATTCATTTTTATGTATACAATTCTTTAAAAAAAAGTGTTTAAAAAATCGCAGCTTTACCAGACCTTTACGAAGTGCCAATGTTGTATCCTTAGCATTATAGGAACTAATGCCATCTGTCGTCTCAGTTATCGATTTTAGTGAAAATGACCTCGGAGAACCTGGATCAGTATTAATATTAGGCTACTGCAATTTTTAATTAATTAATTAATTTCAGTATTGGTCTTGTATATCAAACTAGCCGGTAGTTTTATACATTGTAATGAGTAGCAGAAACTTTAAAACTGTAAAAATTGTTTACTGTAAAAGTATTCCTATTGCCTGTTTAAATGTGTGTCCAGTTCATCCAACTGCAGCGTGAGCATCTTCCATCCATCTCCAACTTGTTTGTCCTTTGCGAAACTGGGGCATCATTTCCGAAGAGGAATTGGTGACCATAGGTAGTCCTTTAAAAAAATAAAAATAAAAAAATGTTTTATCGCCTTTGTTATTTGGCGAACTAGTTTACGGAATAGGCCTACGGCTATTTGCTGTTTCCCCCAAATCGAAATGTTCTTAAAATAATTTTTTAATGCAAGTGTCTAGTTTCCAACGTGTTTTTAAAACGGTTTGGTATTGGCATTGTTAGATTACAAATCAGTCAGAGCGCGTATTTGCGCTTGTCGCTAAATAGGCTACTCTACCTAGTTAAAAATAGCACGCTGCTCATGCTCTTTTGCGTTACGTCGCTAAAAGTCCGTCATTGTGACATGTTTATCTGAAGTAACCTGCCTTACCTATGTGGTTTTAGAGGTCTGTCGCGGAATAAATTGACTGAGATCACCCTCGTACACGTCTCCAAAATACAAATCTTATTGTTACTACTATAATAGATTAAAACTGTGTTCTTCAGAATGTTATTTTATTCATTTTTTTAACAAGACAAGAGCTTTGTCACAATTTTATTGTATGAAAAATAACTGTACCTATGATATTTTGTTTGAAACTATCTCCTGGTGAATTCTTGTACGGATGGCTCACTGTAATTACAAACCCACTCTGGAAGACAAAGAAACATCAAAATCAACATTTATAGCCTATCTGGAAAAATATCCACAATAGTCCCTTCTGAAGTAGGCTAAGTATACGTCGATGTATCTCCCAAGTTCAGCAAGTTTTGTTGTCCTTTGAAAATCATTATATTCTCAATTAGGCTAATACAGTATTTTCTTTCTCGAGACAAAAAAATCTAATTCTTTATGATGGTGCGATGATGAAAAAGATGAAGCAACTTCACGAGTTCCTGTACATATCTCAAAATCCCATGCAAAAACATAATTCCCCCGGAAACAAGCCTCTTATGAATTATAATTCCATTGGCTTCTGCTAAAATAGTCCAGGCGGTCGCAGAAAAGGCACTGTGTCGTTAGTTCTAGTCCGAGGGACATTCCTCTGCCTTGATTTTCCCATAGAAAAGAGTTTCTATGTTATCCAGGGGAAGGGGGGTGAGATGGTGAGAGACGCAGCTCGAGACGTCCATACGTGCCTTATCTTAGTGGCAGTGACGTGATATTGCAGCTCCAGTCCTGAGGCTCGGCGAGAAAGCGCTTTCCATCTCACTCCACAGCGACTCAGCAGCATCCTCCATCCGTCAGGGATTGCGCTCTACCTGCTACCCGACCTGGGCATCTCTTGAGGGACGGGCAGACAACGACTAATGATCAGTCGAGATTCACAACATTTTTAGCCCTCGTTCTAGTGTCTGCTCACTTCTGTTGCGCTCTCATCACTTGGTTGCGTTGAGGTGGGAAGAAAAAAAAAAGGAGCGAGATGATGATCCAGCCTGGAGTCTAATGCATTTTTGCTCACTGACCATCTTGTTGCTCTAGACTTCTATCATCTGCAATGGGAGATATCGATTCGCAGGGGAGCGACACGTTTCATTTCTAAAAGGATGTTTCCAAGTATGTGGGGAAAATAGCCATAGCTTTCAGAGTGCAAGGTAAGACCTGTTTATTATTATTAATTATTATTATTATAAATAAGTAGATGGATAAATAGATAGGTTTGAACGACAATGAGATGGCCCTCGCCCAAGTTTATCCATCTTCAATGCACAAACGAGTTAAAGATCTGAGTTCCATAGTTCATTCTAATGAATGCAATAGCCTAAAAACTACGTCAATATTTCAAAGGACTCGAACGTTACCAGGGCCAGTGTAAAGTTAAACGATGATCGACGAGTTTCGCAGGAAAATGACATAGAATCGAGTTTGACGCCGACTGTATTTCGTAAAATCCGTTTTTGTGACCACATTCAGGTTTGCACCCCCAAAACTGACGATTGACAATCACGCTAGACTTGAGTTTTGTAAAAGAGTATGAATATGAAAAGACGTCGCTGCAGTTTTTATCTATTTATTTCTGTCGCTACGGCTTTTTCTGATCCGTTCATATTACTGATCGTGACGCGACGCGACAAACTGGAACGCTCCCGTAATAATCAACGAAAAGTGCAAGAGCGCGACAAGACATCGGATGTAAAGGAAAAGTAGCGCGCGATGGTTGCAATGTGCGCCAATACTGTCTCGTCCTATATAGTCGTGTATAACCTCTCTGTATATTGCATCGTACGCGTTTTGCTATGTCGTACAAGTAGTGCCGCATTTAAGGTGATTAAAGAGTGAAAATAAAGGCTCGCTCTGGGAATGCTGTGACACTGCACACAGCTGCAATGCCTGCAGGATTCATGCAAACAGGACATCGAATAGCTTTTCTCTTCTGCTGGATCTCCCTCTCTCTTTCTCTCTCCCTCTCCGCCGCCTTTCTTTCAGACTCCTAGAATATTTGGGAATTCAACACATTTGCGCACATTATGATGCATTACGTACAGCAGATCGTCGCGGAGACAAATGCATTACATCGAAATCAAAGTTTTTGCCTCATGAAAATCATAGATTGCGTTCAGTAAGGGAATTAGATGTTGAAAGTAACGCTGCTTTAATCCTTACATAGATCATCACGACATTATAGTCCATCCAGTCAATCGGATATGATCTCTCTGTATTATATAAAAGACGATATTTAGTAAATGTATGTGTTTTTTTTAGTTGAATAGAAATCCCTGAGCAGACAGATATGTAGATGATTATTATGCGGTCAGACATGTAGATCACTGCAGAACTGCGACACATTACCCTGGAGTGAATAAAAAACCAAAACGTTTTATTGTGCCAAAATGTCTTTTTGTTAGTGACATGTAATGCCAGTCTTTTTTTTATCCTTCCAAACGAACGAGTCGCTATTTAATATAACGACCATAAAGCTAATGCATGTCAATGATCATTGTGTCCGACACTGTCAGTCATTCAAACACTGTAAAGATCATTCAGTGTGTAATGATCATATCAAATGATCATTTGATCGCTAAATATCATGCAGTTTTATCCTGCCACAGCAGATGCCCGAAGTTATTACCACCAATTTATTAAACACCACAAGGTGGCAATGTTTATCCGAAATGTGTTACATTCCCAGGGAAAGGATCATTTGAATCTCCATAAAATCGAGATGGTAGTTTATGATTGAAAATAGGCAGTTCAAACGAACAATGTAGTTTAACACAAAGCTAAATTGGATAGTTAGGAGATCTTAGACTGAAACTCTTTGACAAAGCATCACTTCACACCACATAGACTGACAATTAACGTAGTGCATCTCTGTTTCTCTTGCAGGCCAAATGACATAGGATGAAGGCTGTTCGTAATCTGTTGATTTATATATTTTCCACCTATCTCCTGGTTATGTTTGGATATACTGGTGCCCAAGATTTCTGGTGTTCCACGCTGGTAAAAGGAGTTATCTATGGATCTTACTCGATAAATGAAATGTTTCCCAAGAACTTCACAAACTGCACATGGACGTTGGAGAACCCAGATCCTACCAAATACAGCATCTACCTAAAACTTTACAAACAAGAAATGAGCTGTTCTGAATTCTCTCTGCTGGCTTACCAGTTCGATCACTTCTCTCACGAGAAGATCAACGAGCTGTTGAGGATCAACGAGTCCATCGTGCACCTGTGTGATGACGCCAAGAATATTTATGTGTTTTTGCATTACAACAAAAATTTCGTGCAGCTCCGGCGAGTGTTTCCCTACGACTATAACGGATTGACGACAAAGAAGACAGAGGAGGAGGAAAGGTCTGTGGTGGAGTTTGTGGTTTTAAACAAGGCGAGCCCGAGTCAGTTTGGATGTCAGGTGTTATGCACGTGGTTGGAAAACTGCTTGAAAGGAGAGAAAGCTGAATCGTGTGGAATAGTCTACGCTAAATGCACCTGCCCTCAACATTTAGGCGATGGGGAATCTGAAAGCGTGCTGATGCTCAGTAACGTGCTGTTGCCTTTAAATCCCCAAACCGAAGGATGCCTGACTCCTCAGGTGCGCTCGGCGCAGGTGTGCAATCTGAGCGCGGAGGTGCGGCGCCCATCTAAGGAGGGTGAGTATGAACCAGACAGCTGCAGGCCTTTAATGGAGATCATTTCACAGCTTAATTATACTGTGTCTTTATGATGCCCCTTTGTATTCCTCCACCCTTCCACATAAAAGAACACCAAAACAGCTCACTGTGTTCTGCTACTGATGTCTATGACTTTTTTTTGTTTTGTTTAGTTTTACAACAATTTCTGGGTGTACAGAACAGGAATGTCCTCTCTAGATGTATTTTATGTTTTTATGTTGTGTCAAAAGTGTAACAACCTGGATGGCGATTAATTAATTAACTAATTCATGTTTTTTTGGAACAGGGGTACTAAGTCTAATGTATTTTACATCATGTCATCTCTTTTATCATTTAATATAATAAACCGTTGACATGTTTATTGGAATTCAGAGTTCACTACTTAATTGCAAATCCAAAAAAAAAAAAGAGTTATTGAATACTGTTGGAAATGAACAGGGTCAAAGCACTTGACACCATACTTAGCCTTTTGGCCTAAACTTAATTGTTATGCTGCTGTCAGCCTCCATCAATGACAAGCGATCAGTTGTCCCTCTGCTGTCCAGCTTTGTCTCTTGCCACGGACGCTGGCAACAACAGATAGCCACAAATGCCTTCGAAGGAATTTGCTAGCAATAAACATTTCTGATGGGGGGATGATGCATAATGGACTTGTATCAGGGTCACCGATATTACAGCTAATTAGCATCTGTAACATTTCACAACTGGCACAAGTTAGAGATCAACTGGAGGCAGGGATGACCCAGCATACTGTGAAAGGACAACAGCTCACAGTGATGGTTGGCCGAGAATGGATGCTGACAGTTTCACTTCAATCCCAGCACAGTGATTCAAAAATAATGAATAATGAGGTGGCGAGAGAGCGAGAGGGAGGGAGTAACCGTCCTATGGCATTCTGGTTTCACTAGCTGAAAATAATAACCCCCTAGGGAGAAGGTGGCAGCTTTCCCGATCAAGCGGAACACGGTGCTTTGGAATTATCAAGGTTCAGTTGAGTTAAGTAGGCCCCCAATTTCGTTTTTCATCCCCCTTTTCAAATTAGCTTTATATTCCATTCCAAACTGTGTCATATTCCATTTACGATCTCGTAACTGAGAGAGATTTTCATTTGGTAATGTTTTAAATATGAATCAAGCTTAAAATGAAGATTAAGCCATTGATTATTTTGTTCCCCAGTTATTGTGTGAGCGTTTTATTATGTCACAGACTCTATAATTAATATCAATCCTTCTGTATCTATGAATTCTTAAACAGAAGTCTCATCTCAAGGCATTTCAGTCATCATTATAGGCACTGGAAATATAGCTTTACCATTAAAAAGTAATGTTTCATTAACTTTCAGCTATCTACATGTTAAGAGAAGCTTAAATGCTCCAGCTTATTTTTTCTTTTTTTTCTCGAAGATTACACTGAAAGCTTCTATTTATAGAGCGGAGGCTTTAGTGGATTGCTATCACAGGTTTAAAAGAGCACACAGCCCCGCTGTAGTGTCAGAATGAAGCTTCTGCCCTCCCGGATGAGCGTTCAGCAGCGCACGCCTTCAAACAGCCACGACAAAAAAAGATCTGTACAGAGCGGGTCCAAAATAAATGGTTGTCTTTGATATCCCTCACGCCTGGTTGTGTGCATGGTAACAAAGTGTGGCCTTTGAATGGGGCAATGAGAGAATCACTAAAAACTGGTTTTCTGGTTCATTGCACTCTGCAGGATGATATCCAGGAAGCCAGCAAAAACATGAGCTTGATTATACTTTATGATAACACCAGTGTTTGAAATGCTGCTTCGCCAAGGATGAAAGTAAAGTGTTTTGAAATGTAAAAACATATTAGACTTGCATAATGGATAATTATGATGCTGGTGCACATTAAATGCACTTGAGCAGGCATTAGCTGATTGCAGGAATATTGCAGTAACGGATTTATGGTTTTGTTGGTGTATTAACACGTTAGGTTTATTGAACATGACCTCAAACAGGTTGATGTTTTTGACAATAACTAACCAGAATTTTAGTAAACAGATCTGAATCTAAAACAGCCAAATAGTCATTTGTTTGAGGGCACATCTTAGATCAGCGCTAATGTAACCAGGAAAGGCTTTTATACCCTTTTAGAATGTTTGAATCTTTACATTTGGAGTTGGAAGCCATTTTCAATGTGGTACTTTTTGACAAAAGTTGACAAGAACGTCACCCACACATAAACAGTAGTGAAATCCATCTCATCAGCCTTTATACATTCAAACTAGAGATTTCTGTAGAAATGTCAACCTTGGCCTTGAAACCGCGGTTGGGAAAATGGGATGCCTAGGCTAGTTTTGCACAGCAAGGTAGTCTATAAAGCAAGCTGCCACAATTTATTCACAGCTCCAGCATTCAACCTGATATGACATGGTTGTCTGATGAGACATAAAGGACTTGGGGGTGAAAAAAACCCCAGATTAAATGGCTTTGAATGAAGTTATTCTCAAATGTTGACCATTTGTGGTAAAGATTTTAAGGCATTTAAGCATTATTTCACGAGTTCACACTTTCTTATAATTAAATAAATGTTATGCGTATTTGGCGTGCTGTCCAGGGAGAGGGCTCCGAGCTCGGCAAGACTCCCGAGCCCGGGGCACCCCCCCCTGTCCGGGGAGAGGGGTCCGAGCTCGGTGTCCAGCCCGGCCCAAAAGCGCTCCCCCCCGAGTGCTTCTCCCCGTGCTGGGGTACAAACTATGCTGAAAGTGCGGGGTTGGGGTGGCTACGACCCCCCAAAACAAGGCTTAATATTAGAGGGGTGCTGGACGTTCTTTGGTATACATTTATTGCGGCAGTATCTAGGAAGAAAATTTTGGCTTGTGGAAGCGTTCCGTGCTGAAAGAGAGAGCTAAAGGCTTCTGCGGGAGACGCGACAATCGCGGCAGAAGAAAAAGATAGAAAAGGCTCCTGCGGGAGCGGCTACTGCTGCGGCAGTAGGGAAATACAGAGAAGGACGGAGAAGGCTCCTGCGGGAGCAGACACTGCTGCGGCAGTGGGGGAATATAGATAAAGGCTCCTGCGGAAGCAGTCACTACTGCGGCAGTGGGCTGGGATGGATGGAGTGGGGATGGGTCGTTATAGATGGATTAGGTGATGTTAAAAAGGGGCTTAGCCGTGGTGGGTCGGGAGTTTGAGTGAACAGGGATGGACTGGCATTAAAGGGGGTGATTCCGAGGCGGGAGTGGTCGGGGGGATGGGTAGGGGCATGGCGGAAGGAAGAGCAGGCATGCGAGAGTAGGGAAATACAGATGAGGTTCCTGCGGGAGCGGACACTGCTGCGGAGGTAGGAGGGTACCTGCGGGAGCAGTCGTTACTTGAGGCAAAAGGGGCAAATTGAAAACTCCTGCAGGAGCGGGGTGCTAAATGGAGATGGGCAGACTAGGGAAAAAAGGGGTGGCTGATGAGGGTTTGGTGGGCTTCCTTGATGTGTGAGCGGTCAGATCGGATGTAGTTTTTAAAGGCTTCTGATGACCAGCGACTGAGTGATTGGATCTGCTGTTGAGAAAGGCCTTTTTGAGCCGCTGTGGTGGCTGCGCCTATTCTAAACGAAAATCACTGTAAAAGAAAGATAAGCCGTTCCATTGTTTAAGGAAGGAAATCCACAGACTGAGCTCGGCTCGGCATGAATTGGTTATAGATATTTGATCATCTAGCTCGTGAACGGAGGACGCAAGAGAGAGGAGGTGAGAGATGAAGGGGCGGCCTTGCGGAATGATCCGCATCGCAAAATTTAGATGACCGAGCACGGATAGCAGCTCGCGTTTGGAGCAGTTTGGGTTGGCTAAAAGAGTGGAAGCCACCAGAATCGTTCTGTCGATTTTTTCCTTGGGTAGAGAAGCTTGGAACCTTTGTGAATCTAGGTTGATTCCCAAAAATTCGATGGAAGTGCTTGGGCCTGAAGTTTTGTCTTGGGCGAGGGGGATCCCGAGCTCTGCGAAAACCTTTTGCGTTGTCGAAAGGTGCGCTGCTGGGATGGAGTCGGGGGGTGATATAATTAAGAAGTCGTCTAAGAGGTGGATTAAGTAGGGTACGGCGTAATTGTTGGAGAGGATCCAGCAAATTGCTTCTGATAACATGTCGAAAATTTTTGGGCTGCTTCTGCAGCCGAATGTGAGGCGGACGGAAAAGTAAAATTTTTTGCGCCAGCAGATGCCGAATAAGTGCCAAAAATTTGGATGGATGGGCATCACCTTAAAGGCAGAGGTGATGTCAACTTTGGCCATCCAAGCGCTGCGACCTGCGTCTTTGATCATGGTGATGGCTTGGTCGATGTCATGGTAATGAAGAGAAAATTCTTCAAGCGGGATGAGGCAGTTAATGCTCGGGAGCGGGGAATTATGCGGGGAAGAGAGATCGATTATAAGGCGTTTTTTACCAGAAAATTTTCTGGTAGCTATGCCTATGGGACTAACACGGAAAATGTTAAAAGGGGGGGCTGAAAAGGGGCCGATCATAAAATTTTCGTCGGTTTCTTTCTTAATTAGAAGGTCGACTGTTTCAGGTTCTGCGAGAGCGGACTGAAGATTGGGGCAGATGAGGCTTTGGGAGGGGAGAATTTCGACACCGGGATGAAAACCATGTGAGAGGCCTGACAGTAGATAGTTAGAGAAATCCGAGTCAGGGTGATGAATCAATTCAGAAGATAAACGAGAGACATTTACGGGAGTCGATAAGTATTGTTTAGCATTTTTATTGGCAGCTTTCTTGACAGGGCAAATCAAGCGGGCGTGAGCACCGCCACAAAAATTGCAAATGTGCATGAATCGACAGCGTTGTCTTGAGCATCTGCCGGCATTGAAGCTGGT